CCCCACCCCCTGTTTCCTTACTTCTCTGTCTGTCTCTGTCTCTCTCTCCCTCTGTCTCTTTCTCTCCCCCACCCCCTGTTGCTCTGTCTGTCTCTCTCTCGCACACACCCCTACCCCTATTTCTCTCCTTCTCTGTCTCTGTCTGTCTCTGTCTCTCTCACTCCCTGACCCTACTTCTCTTCTCTGTCTCTGTAGGTTTCTGTCTCTCTCTCCTCTCACCCCACCCCTACTTCTCTCCTTCTCTGTCTCTGTCTGTCTCTGTTCTTCCCTCTCCAGGAATCTTGAGGGCTTTGCTTATTTGTCTGTGTCCCTGGCTTTCTCCTTGTCTCTGTCCCCTCCCTTGTCCTCTCCTCCCTTTCTCCCCGCCCGCCCCGAGTCCTCTATTCCCACCTCCGAATTTCTGCCCTCCCAGCCCCTCCTCACCGCACCTCTCCAGCCTCACTGGGTCTCTTCTGTCCCCTCGGTCGGTCCCCTCTCCTGCTGGCTGCCTGTGTCAGTCTCTTGTGTCAGCTTCTTCCCCCCTTCCCTCCCGCCCAACTCATCTTGCTCACCCCGGCTTTTTCATTTCCTCTCCGCCCCGCCCTCCCTCCCCCTGCGCTCTCCAGAGGCCCCCTGGGCTCCCTGCCGCCCTCCCTGGCACGGCCCCACCTTTCCTGCTCAGAGCATCCATCTCCGGCCTCTGCCTCCCCTCTCCGCATGTCCAGCTCAGTCCTCCACCGAGCCACCTGCCACCTTCCCTCACAAAGGTTTCGCCCCTCCTCCCTCCCCGCATCTCCCTCTCTGGCCCTGGTGGGGATCCCCGAGTCCCCATCACTCAGGTGCGGAGGGCATGGGAAGGGGGACCAGGAGCGACCTGTCCTGGAGGGGGTGGTCTTGGCCTGGGTGGCCTCTGGGATCTATTCTGGGCTCCAGGCCCCGGGCTTAGGACATTGCCCAGGGATTGAGAAATGACCAGGAAATTCCTCCCTGATGCAGTGTTTTCCAGACACTACTGAGATTTCTGGTCCCTGGACACAATTCACTCCTTCCAGAAGGCTGAGAAGGAGGTGGCTTGGCCAGGAAAAAAAAACGCTAGTCCCTTGAGCCTGTCCCTGGGCTCCCAGCTTGTCCGGCAGAGGCCTGAGAAGGGAGCACAGGGGAGCAAATGTGGTGTCCAGTCATAAGGGACCAGTATGGGGGACTTCCACGGCCTGTCATCAAAAGGGAGCGCCCAGCCGCTCTCTCACTTCTCACAGCCGCACTCCCAGGCCCCGGCCCAAGCGTTGGTGACCTTGACTTCCAGGAATAATATTTTGGTCCCAGAAAGCTGTTCTGTGCTCCAGCATTGCCACCATATCTCTCTCACCCCCTCTAGGCCACCGCCGCCACTGCCTCCGGCCAGTGTGGCCAGCCCACACGTCCCAGCTGCCAGCACAATGGTCACAGGCCCTTCTCACGAAGCCCTCGGTTTCCCAGGATGTCTCCCAGCCCAAAAGGGCCAGATGAGTCCTTGGGGACCCCCTCAGATGCCCCTTGTTTTTCAGGGAGACGGTTTATGTGAGGAGATCCCAACAGGGGTCTCACATCCATTTAACTTGGGTTTCTGTCCCAATCTGACACTTTTTTTCTTGCTGTGCGATGGTCTCAGGTGAGGACAGGGTGCCTCAATCTCCTCATCTGTACAATGGGGTCACATTGGCCTCACAGGCCTGGTGGCCAGCCTCAGCCTGTAGCACATCCCATAACAGAGAGAGCCTGGGCAGGTGTCTCAAGTCCAAGGCCAAGGTTGCTTCTGACCCAAAGACAATGTGGGCAGCTGTAGGCTTGTCTTTGCCCCCCTCCATTCCCCCACCCCAGCCCTGTAACCACAACGCCCTTGCCTCTTCCCCTCGCCTCCCTATCACCCATGCCTAGCTGGCACCCCAAGCTTCCGACAGGATGGGTGCCCCAGTTTAAGCCCTGCAAGGACTCCCTGAGGGACCACACAACCCTGCTCAGTTGGGGGGGGTGCCTGTGTGTGCCAGTCCCAGGCCTCCTAGCCACGTGGTCCTGCCTCTTGCTGTCCGTCCCCAAGCAGAGCAGAGGGAACTCAGGACGTTCTATCACATTAATGAAGGATGATGCCTGGCAGGCTTGCGTCCTGTCTTGGCATCAGGGGAGTTGCGGGGGAGCCCTGGTTCCCGGAACCTCTCTCCTTCTGGCTTCCCGTCCCCACCAGGATTGCTAACATTCAGGAAGTCCTTTCTGCTCCCACGCCCAGCGGGGCCTCAGACAAGCCCCTGCCCCTTCCAGGCCTCAGTTTCCCCACCCGTGCGGCTAGGGGCCACATGCCCTGGCGACCCTGGCCTGAGTCCTGTGCTCTTGCGTCAGGAGCAGGAAGGGTGACAGTGATTGTGACTCATGTGGGAACCAAGGGTCCCGGGAGTCTGCCAGTGTGGACACGCCTCCCTCACCTTCCAGGGACACCCGGCCCCCTGCCTGGCTGTGGCCCCAGCCAGGGCCCACAGGCCGAGCCCACAGCAGGGGCCACCAGGGGTGCCACTGCCATCCGGGTGCCTGGAGAGGAGGGTGGCTTCTGAGGGGGCGGGGGAGCTACAGAAGAAACTGCCCTGGGGGGGTGAGTCAGCAATTCTTTTTCCTCCCACGGTGAGAAACAGGACTGGGGCCTCCCTGGAGGGACCCTGGGGCAGCCGGCAGAAGAGGGAGGGCGGCCCAGAGACCCCTGAGAATGGGCACTGACTCGGGGACCCACGGAGAGCAAAGAGATAGGGACCTGGAGAGGTTGGTGTGCTGGGGACTGTGGGTGTGTAAACTTGGGATGTGAGTCTGGGGGGTGAGTGGGGCTGCCTGGCCTAAGTGAGCATTTGTATCAGCGTGTGTGTGTGTGTGTGTGTGTGTGTGTGTGTGTGTGTGTGTGTGTGTGTGTTGTGAGCCATGGGACTCTGCTCCTGGGCATGGCTGGGTTTATGGATGTATTTGCTGCTGTGTATTGTGCATGGATGTGGCCGCGTGTGTTTGTGTGTGACAGGATGTGTATCATATGAGCTCATGTGTGTCTTTGCAGACAGAGGAATGTCTGTGTTGGCACGCTGCCACTCTGTGTGGCCTTACAAGCAAGCTTTTTCTTTGTGGGTACTTAGCTGGGTCTATTTGTGTGTCTCTGTGGGTCTGTTCAGTGTGGCCTTGTGTGTTTCCTATGACTGTGACTATGTATGTCTGTATGTGGAGTGGAAAGAAAATGGGATACTTTTTTTTTTTTTTTTGAGTCGGAGTCTCTCTCTGTCGCCCAGACTGGAGTGCAGTGGCCACTCCCGGCCACCGCAGCCTCGACCTCCTGGGCTCCGGCGATCCTTCCGCCGCAGCCTTCCAAGTAGCCGGAGTTACAGGCGCGCACTACCACGTCCGGCTGATTTTTTGATTTATTGTAGAGATGAGGTCTCGCTTGCCCAGGCAGGTCTCGAACCCGCGGGCTCAGGCAATCCACTCACCTCAGCCTCCCAAAGGCGTGGGATTACAGGCTGAGCCACCGAACCCGGCTCTTTTTTTTTTTAAAGACAAGGTCTCACACTGCTGCCCAGGCTGCAGTGCAGGGGCGTGATCATAGCTCACTAACCTCCACCTCCTGAGTTCTAGGTCTTCCCACCTCAGCCTCCTGAGAAGTGGGGATTACAGGTATAATTTATTTTTATTTTTATTTATTATAGAGACAGGGTCTCGCTGTGTTGTCTGGGCTTGAACTCCTGGCCTCAAGCCATCCTTCTGTCTCGGTCTCCCAAAGCATTGGGATTACAGGCGTGAGCCACCCCGCCTGGCAGAGAATGGGTTTTGAAACACCACTCCACCACTTCCCAATCATTCACCCTGTGACCCTGGGAAAATGACTTCCCCCTTCATCAAATGGCGGCCATGACCTTGTTGGGGTGTTGGATGAAGATAAGGGACAGTTCACCCTGCCTGCCTCTCGAGAAGCTCTCCAATAGCTGCTGGTGCAATTATTCATTCAACAAACCACAACCCACGGTTTACTGTCTGTCAAGAACTGGGGATACAGAGGGGCTCAGAGGGCACCACCCACGAAGGACTGTTCGCAGACAGCTACATCCACCTGGTGTGTGGAGTCTGGCCGGGCGGGCACCAGGCTGAGTCACCCCACACCCAGCCGGGACTCCCATTGGGTGGGCAACCTGGAGAGGGGAGTGCCAGGCAGGCCAGGAAATGGGCATGATGGGCCTGGGCCTGCATCCGGATGGACGTACCACAGACCTAAGATCCTGACTTGCCCTGGGCGCGACCCTCTCCAGACTCCCTGGCTTCCGTGGCCGCGGGAGGAAGCTGGCCCGTCTCATGCTTCACACACACATGCCACCAGCTGCTCGCGCCTGACGGGCTGCCATCCGCCTGTGCCCTGTCACTGCTGCCAGGAGCTTCTGTGCATCCATCCAGACCTGTCCTACCTTGGCGGGTCTCAGCACCTGTAACCAAGGCTGTTTTCCCCTGCCCGCTGCCCTCCACCCAACATGAGCCCTAGCCTGCTACCTGCTGCTGCATCTCCCCCTGCCCCAGGGGCCACACCCAGTCTCCTGCCTGCCCTGCCCTGGCCTGGACTGTGTCCGCGCCTGGGGACACCCTCACCCCCAGCCTCCAAGCTCCCCATGGCCACCTCCTGAGCCTTCCCTGAGTGGTCATCCACTGGGTCCACCCACTCCCACCTCAAGCGCCAACTGGTCGCGTGATGTTACCTCTTCACCCGTCTTCCTTGTCTGTCAAGTGGGAATCAACAGAGACACGTTAGGGGCTATTATGAGCATTGGGTGAGACTGGGCTTGGGAAAGGCTCCCACAGTAAGTGGTGGCCAGGATTACGGCTCCTTCTGGCTCTGGGCTTCCCCTTCCCCAGGTCCCCTGAGGCTCACCAGGTGCCTTTCTGAGCACCTGGGTTATAGGGACTACAGGCATGCATGCACCACCACACCTGGCTAATTTATTTTTATTTTTTGTAGAGACAGAGTCTCACTATGTTGCCCAGGCCGGTCTCAAACTCCTGGCCTCAAGCAATCCTCGGTTTGGTGCAGGGTGCCTGGTTGTGGGTGCAGGGGGAAGACAGCTTAGGGTGGAGCAGCTGGGAGCAAGCACTCACCCCTGCCACCACCTCTCCACCTCTTGGCCTGGCTCTAACCGGAGCCTGGGCCATTCACCAGAGCTGACCTCACCGCTGGGGGTGACAGGAAACAGCAACTGTGACCAGAAGCTGGTGGTGCACAGAGTTGTAAGCCTAACAAGATTATTTGGGTCTGTGCTCTCGGAGGCTGGTCACCTGGTGACCCGCCCTGTCTCTCTGTCCTGTCCTTTCTGGCTTTTTTTTCTCTGCCTCAGTTCCCCAGCCTCCCTCCGTCTCTTCCTGGTCCATTCCAGACTTGCTTACTTCTCCGCAGTTCCCATCCCCCAAGACTAGCAAGATAGAGGAAGGGTTTGCTCTGAGATTCAGGGCTGGAAGGGTCTGAATCCCAGACTCAAGAACTCCTTACACTCCTGAGGTGCCAGGCTCCAGAATCCAAGGCGGACAAGAGGACAGCATCCCAAATCCTGGCCCCGCAGGGTTGAAAGACGCTGGAACGCCAGTCTTCAGGGGTCCCAGCATCCCGCATCTTTTAGCATCTCAGGTTCCAAGCTGCAGGGGTGCTGGGGTCTGACTTCCAGAATTCTTCCAGCTCCTTCCTCACTCCTCCTCCACACCCCGGCTCATCTTTGGCACTCTCCCTGTCCCCTGTCTCCCCCAGGGCTCCCACAGACATGATGCAACCAGGCCAGAGGCAGCTGAGAGGTGGGAAGCAGGAGGGAGATGCAATTACAGCCGCTCCTGCCTCAATCCTGCAGGAAGTCAGAGTCAGGGCCCAGGGGACCCTAATCCAATGTGAGTAATGGAGCATTTGCCAGATGCGGGCACAGCCTCTCTGGGGACGAGAGGCCCAGCACGCCACCTCCAGCAGATCCAGGGGTCCAACCTCCATTCACCCCAGGCTGGGGATCCCCAAACTCAGGCGCAAGAGGAGGGGAGGGGAGGGAAGGAGTAAGGAGAGAGAAGGGGTAGCCCTCAGGCCCAAACCCACAGGTAGCCCAGTCTGCACCAGGCTGGAGGGCAGTGGCACGCTCCCAACCACTGCAGCCTCAACCTGCTAGGCTCAGGCAATTCTTCCACCTCAGCCTCCCAAGTAGCTAGAACCACAGGCATGCGCTACCACACCGAGCTGATTTTTTTATTTATTGTAGAAATGTCTCACCAGGCTGGTCTCAAATCCATGGGCTCACGCAGTCCTCTCACCTCAGCCTCCCAAAGTGCTGGGATTATAGGTGTGAACCACCTCGCTCAGCCTTCTTTTGTTTTTTTAAGAGACAAGGTCTTGCCCTATTGCCCAGGCTGGTCTTGAACTCCTGAGCTCAAGCAATCCTTTCACCTCAGCCTCCCAAAGATGAGAGGCGTGAGCCACTGTGCCTGGCCATGACTCCCTTTTCCTTTTTTTTCTTTTTTTTTTTTTTGAGTTGGAGTCTCACTCTGTCACTCAGGCTGGAGTGCAGTGACATGCTTACAGCCACCACAGACTTGACCTGTTGGGCTCAGGCAATCCTGCCTCAGTCTTCCAAGTAGCTGGAACTACAGGCGTGAGCCACTACGCCCAGCTAATTTTTTAAAGTTACTATAGAGAGGAGGTCTCACCATGTTGCCCAGGCTGGTCTTGAACCCCTGGGCTCAGACAATTCTCTCATCTCAGCCTCCCAAAGTGCTGGGATTACAGACTTGAGCCACTGGCGCCCAGCTATGTCTCCCTTTTTCTTTTTTTTTTTTTTTTTGATTTGGAGTCTCACTCTGTCACCCAGGCTGGAAGGCAGTGGTATACTCCTGGCCACCACAGCCTTGACCTGCTGGGCTCCTGCAATCCTTCCGCCTCAGCCTTCCAAGGAGCCAGAACTACAGGCATGCGCTACCACACCTGGCTAATTTTTGATTTATTGTGGAGACGAGGTCTCACCAAGTTGCCCGGATGGGTCTCAAACCCATGGGCTCAGGCAATCTTCTCTTCTCAGCCTCCCAAAGTACTGGTATTACAAGCTGAGCCACCAAGCCCGGCCAAAATATGGACTTTCATATGACATAACTCTGTTTTCCAATTTAGCAGCCAAGTCAAGAACATCTTTAAATATCACATAGGCCAAAAATAACCCCCCAAAATATAACTGCAGCTATGTATGTCCTGTGAGCCACCCTGTGTGAACTGGGAAACAGAGGGAAAGAGAGGGCAGGAACAGTCCTGTCTCTTCAACAACAGCAAAAATTGTTGAAGGAAGAATTGTACTCATTGGGTGTCTTCTCTTCCTTATTCTAGATATGTTTCTCTCTTCTCCAGTTCGCCTGGTTTTGTTGTTGCTGTTGTTGTTTTGAGTCAGTCTTACTCTGTCGCCCAGGCTGGAGTACAGTGGCACACTCACGGCCACCGCAGCCTTGACCTGCAAGGCTCAGGTGATCCTTCCACCTCAGCCTTCCAAGTAGCTGGAACTACAGGCATGCACCATCATGCTGGGCTAATTTTTTTTTAATTTGTTGTGGAGATGAGGCCTCACCAAGTTGCCCAGGCTGGTCTCGAACCTGTGGGCTCAAGCAGTCCTCTCACCTCAGCCAAAGTGCTGGGATTATAGGCATGAGCCATTGCGCCCGGCCAAGTTTTATTACCACCATGTCCTAGCTGAGATGTCCCCTCCTCCAGAAAGCCCTCTTTGATGCCCAAGCTGCATCAGGCTGTTCCCCTGAGCTCCTTCAGCCCACTGAGCTCTCCTACCTCGCCACTGTCCACTCTATCTCTTCCACTGGACACAGCCCTAAGAGGCCAGGACCAGGACTGTCTCGATCACAGCCGTGCTTCTAGCATTGCCCAGCTCAAGGCTGGTCACAAAGTAGGGACCCAGGGAGTGTTTAGATGACTGGATGAATGAAAGAGCAGAGAAAAGTTCAGTGCTTGAGGACAGAAGTGGGCCCGTGGTGGGGGTAGCCAGATGTGAAAAAAGGAGTCATCCCGAAAGTGAGAAATATGGGAGGGGCGCTGGGGAGCCTGAGCATCTCCCCAGGTGGGAGAAGAGAGGCCAGCGGGGGAGTCCAGGGAGCTCTGGAGTCCACCATCCTCACCCCATGACCGCCTAGCCGTGTGACTGAGTCAGAGACTTCCTTTGGCTCCAAATGGGTGTCATACGAGCAGTCAGCCGCCTTCTGGGGCTCCGGGACCGGTAAGAGCAGAGTGGGGTCCTGGAGACTCAGTCGGGGACAGGCACCGAGCGCTCACCGCCTCCGAGGCGCCGGTGGAGGGGCACTCAGTCCCTCCGCACCCACACTCCCCCAGCACGGTCCACACCCACGCAGAAGGAAAGAGAAGGGACACAGGTTCCCCACGGCGGCCCCAAGCGCTCTGCGTGCCTCCGTTTCCCGCAAAGCACAGGCACCGCCACACAGTCACCGAGTTTATTGGAGCCATCCTTGGGCGGGGAAGGGCGCGCCGCGGGAAGGCTCAGAGCAGGACACAGAAGAGGCGCTTGTCGCGGAAGGGGTTCTCGGCGGCGGG